GGTTACAAAGACAAAATACTGTGTTGATGGAGCAGAACGCTGCTGCATTACAAAGTTTGGAGGCCGCTCGCGCCAACTCAGAGGCGACCCAGCGGCAATTGATGAAGATTATTGCTGCCACCAGAGGCACGCCAGGAGCGTCCTCTTCGAACGCCACACCACATGCTGAGTGGAGCTTGGAAAGCTTCCTTCAACATCACCCAACCAAGTTCAGTGGGACGTGCCTTCCTGATGAGGCAGATCAATGGCTGCGTGACATGGAGAGGATTTATAATGCAAAGAGGTGTCCGGATGAAAATCGTTTGGCTTTTACAGAATATCTTCTAACTGGAGAAGCGAGCCACTGGTGGGCGAGCGTGAAAGCTATACTGACGGACGCTCACAGCCCTATTAATTGGGAAGTTTTTAGAAGCAAATTCTTTGAGGAGTACTTCCCGGATATCGTCCGTTTTGCTAAGGAAGTGGAATTTTTGCAACTGGTGCAAGGGGGAATGTCGGTTTCTGAATACACGAACAAGTTTAAGCACTTGGTTCGTTTCAATACAATGGCGACCAGTGAGGAATGACAGTGTAGAAAATTTGTGAATGGGTTGAGGAGCGATCTAAAGGTGTTGATCTCCAGTTTTTGCATTCGGTCTTTCCCTGCAATGGTTGAGAGGGCTAAAGTGTTAGAGAAAAATATGGCTGAGGCGGAACAACAGAAGAAACAACAGGTGTCACGGGGACCGATTTTATCAAGACCCAATTTAAATCGGAACAGGACTCCATACGCTCGTCCAGCTCAGGCAAGTGGGTCTCAAGCTTTGGTGGTAGATGGACAATCAGGACAATCGGGAACAGTCAGGTGCTTTCAATGTGGGGGACCTCATTTTAGATCAGCATGCCCTCAGTTGGTCGGAGGAAAGTATTGTAATCGGTGTAGAAGAAATGGCCATCTGGAGAGCGAATGCAACATGGGCGGACGTGCTGTTATAAGGCCACCGAACGCTGGAAGAAACCAGCAAGGGAGAGGTAGTCGAGCTCAGGCTGTTGGACGAGTGTATGCCATTACAGGAGCGGAAGCCGCGAGCTCAGGTACGCTCATCACCGGTACCTGCTTAATTCATGGAAATTCTTGTTGCGTGCTGTATGACTCGGGGGCAACACACTCCTTCATCTCGAAGGCGTGCGTTGAGAAACTGGGGTTAGCAGAGAGTGAAATGCAGTTCGACTTGGTGGTGTCAACCCCAGCGGCTGGTGAGGTGAGAACGTCTACAGTATGTGTTAGATGTCCTCTTGAGATTGAAGGGCGTAGGTATAAGGTGAACCTCATATATTTGCCTCTCAAGGACTTAGAAGTGATTTTGGGAATGGATTGGCTGACTACCAATCACATTCTCATAGATTGTGGAGCCAAGGAATTAATTTTTCCTGAAGAAGATGAAGAAGAATTGGGTGTTACACTCGGTCAACTGAAAGAAGATATTATGGAGGGTGCTAGCTGCTTCTTGATAATGACGCACGAAGACAGGGAGGTTGGGGACATGAATTTGGAACGATCGTCCAACAACAAGCAAAGAGGAGGACGAACGGTTGTTGATGAATTTCCGGACGTCTTTCCGGATGAAGTGCCAGGACTGCCTCCCGTTCGTGAAGTGGAGTTCACAATTGATTTGGTGACTACAGCCGCACCAATCTCAGTTCAACCGTATCGAATGGCACCAGCTGAATTGGTTGAACTTAAGAAGCAAATTGAAGATTTGATGGACAAGAA